ATAATTATAATTATGAAAAACCAAGATATAAACCACCTATGCTTAGAAACCAACCAAACACAAACAGAAGCAATTTTGTCAGAATGAATTATAATAAAGGATCAGTTGGAGGAGGAAATCCAGCATTTAGTAGAAATTACAATATACCAAAAACGGCATGGGCAAATCGAGATAACAGAAGATATTACCCAGAAAAAGAAGAAGAAATATATTCCAATGTGAAGAGTGAAAAGGGTGTGAATTTTGACATGTATGACAGTATACCAGTAGAAATTAAAGGGTTTAATAGTGAAAATATTATACCAATTGACAATTTCGATGATGCAGGATTAAATTTACATGAGATATTATTATCCAATATAAAAAAAGTAAATTACGATAAAACAACCCCAATACAAAAGTACAGTTTAAGTATAATTATGAATAAGAATGATTTAATCGGGGTTGCTCAGACAGGTAGTGGAAAAACAGCAGGATATTTATTACCAATTATTAATCATATGCTATTAAATGATCCACCAAAACATAGTTTCTATGAAGAGAATCAAAAAAGTTCGAATTATTACTATAACAGGGTTTGTTTACCTATATGTTTAATTTTGGCACCTACGAGAGAATTAGCAGTACAGATTTTTTATGATGCCAAAAAGTTTTGTTTCGAAACAGGAATTAAACCAGTAGTTTTGTATGGAGGCAGTAATATCAAAACACAATTATCGAATTTAGACAAAGGGGCAGACATCATAGTTGCGACACCTGGAAGATTAAATGATATTTTAGAAAAAGGAAAAATTAGATTATTTCTCACTTCCTTTTTAGTATTAGATGAAGCAGATAGAATGTTAGACATGGGTTTTTCTCCACAAATAAGAAGTATAGTTTATGATTATGATATGCCAGGAAATGATAATGATTCTCATATGAATCCAAACAAAATGGAATATAAGAAATATTGTAATTATATTGTGAAAAGACAAACAATTATGTTTAGTGCTACATTTAGAAAAGAAATACAAGTGTTAGCAAAAGATTATTTATTCAATTATACCTTTTTACTAGTTGGTAAAGTTGGTAGTACAAATGAATATATTAAGCAAAACTTGATATACATAGAAGAAGAAAACAAATGTAACTATCTGTTAAAATTATTATCAGAAAATAATAACGGTTTAACAATTATATTTGTTGAAACAAAAAGAAAAGCAGATATAATTGAGAGATTTCTAAATAATCAAAAATTAAATGCTGTCTGTATACATGGTGATAAGAGTCAAGATGAAAGAGAGAGGGCTTTGAAATTATTTAAAAGGGGAATAAAAAATATGTTAGTGGCAACTGATGTAGCTGCTAGAGGGTTGGATATATCAAATATTAAACATGTAATTAATTTTGATTTACCTAGTAATATAGATGATTATATTCATAGAATTGGAAGAACAGGGAGAGCTGGGAACATCGGAATTGCAACATCATTTGTTAATGATGATAATAGAAATATATTTAAAGACTTGTTAGCAACGTTGGAAGAATGCAATCAAGCAATACCTCGTTGGTTTCTCAATTTAGTCATGAGATACACAGCGAGTGCTAAATCCAATCGAAATTTTAGATATAATAAGTCTAGCAAAGGGAAGGGAAATTATTCAAGGTATAACAATAATAGTAACTTTGGATTTAGTAGCAATAACAATAGTGGAGGTGGAAATCACCCATTTAACAACAGTTCATATAATCAGCATTCTCCATTTAGTAGTAGCCATCTTTTCAATAATAACAACAACCAACATGGCTTTGGGAATAGTAGCGGATTTTCCAGCAGTCCTTTTAATAATAACAACAGTAACATGTATGGACATAGCAGTTATAACAACAATAACGACAGTAACCCCTACAACAACAATTCTGGTACCGTGAATCCATTCATGAGCAGTAGCAACAATAATAACAAATTTAACAGTAACTATGGTAACAAGAAGTTTGATGATCAAATGTTCCAAAGATCGAATTTTCAAGGCGCTGATGAAAATGTAGATGGTTGGTAAGGAGGTAAAACAAGGAAGAAAAAAACTAAAAAAAAAAAAATAGAAAAATAAAACAGAACAAAACAGTACAAAACAGAGCAAACCAGTACATAATAGTACAAAACAGAACAGAAAAAAACTACGTAAAAAAGGAGAAGCAAAACTATATGTGAACACACACCTTTTGCATATTCAATTGAGCACCCATTTTTAAAGTATTTTTTTTTTTTTTTTTTTTTGCAATATGTGCAAGGTTTAAGAATTGAATTTCTTCCCTTGTAGAATCAACATATATATACCCCTATGCAGCATTGAGCTGCTTGCATTGTTTTTGTGCACCACAAAAAAATGGAACAAGTTGTGTCGTAGCACTATGGATTATGAAGCATAAAACATCCTTTTATGAGAAAAAAAAAAAAAAAAAAAAAAAACGAAATTGATGAGAAGTAAATATAAAAATAGCTGATGCAAAGGAAAGAACAAACTGAAAGAGGCAAAGTAATAAATCGTGTGGAAGAATGAAGCTCTTTACTTTCTTACGCATCATGAAAACCTAAAACGGCACGCTGCAAAAACCATTTTTGCGTACTCAGTTTAACCACCATATGTAGTTAATAATTATTCTTGAATTCACAGAAAGAATACATTTGTTATTTTCTGTATTTTATTATTTTATTTTTTTTTATGAGAATTTTATTAGTAATATTACTAAAATTGGGCATACACAATATGCATTATATATATGCACGTATAGACCAACACACTCTATACATGTAGTTATGATCCAATTCACATGTTTTAATATTAAAATGGATTATTATAAAAAAAAAAAAAGAATATTATAATTTAATAATATTTCTTCACAAGAAACCATATTTGTATACAAATAGTAAATTTTTATTTTATTAGAACAACGTATATTATTATGCACATACCGTATTTTATTATGTAAATCATATTTCACCGTATTACACGGCAATTTCCCTATTATACAATATTTTATCATATTATATCATATTCTCAATGTTAAACGACTTTTCATTTATATCCCATATACATTCTATTTAACCATATTTAAAATCACGATGTGTTATTATATTACACTATGTTTTAGAATACTATAATGAGTTTTACTATTTTGCATTACATATATATATCGTATTATTTCCATTTTTATTACTTTTTTTTCTTTTTTCCATTTTATATGTGTATATGCGAAGCATATGATATTACAATTTTTTACCTTTTCTATAATTTATCTGTGTAAATATATATATATATATATATATATATGCATATATATTTACATATTTACATACATATTTACATATTTATACAACTTGAGTATCTATGTATATTCACATGTACATGTATAAAATTAAATGTAAATCAGCAATAAGTGTAATTGACGTATCATTTACATGAGTAAACAAAAATTAAAAAAAAAAAATATCCCCAAAAATTATAGCTGAAAATTGTGGATATATGCCTATACATAAATACTTGCACATATAAATTATATATATATATATATGTATATGTACATATTTTTTTAAATTCTTATATAAAACTTACAGCTTAAAAACGTTAAATTTTTGCATTTAAAAAATCAACATTTGAAATGGTATATATTTTTTTTTTTTTTTTTTTTGCTTTTGTTCGGGGTGATTAAGTATATTTTTAGTAATAAGCATTCCAAATCTCTTATTTTCTCTGCAAACGATATATGTCTATAAGGAGAAAAAAAAAGACTGAAGTTTCAATTACGTTTCTGTTTATTGCGTAGCTCGACTATTCATATACTTTTTTCTTCGCTTTGCAAAATAATACAAGTTCACAAAGTTACAACAGCTCAAATGAAATATTATGCAACGTCCCAAAATGTGCTACAATGTATGCAGTTGTTATAACACTGGTTGGAGCAGAAAGACCATGGTCATTTCCTGTGTTACTTTTGCATCATATGTCATATGATTTTTCATGTCTATAAAGATTTTCTCATTAAATTGAGGTAATCGTTGGGTTCGTATTTTTTATACCTATGAAAAGGAAAAAGAAGAATGGTAAAATCGTTCTAAAATACACACTTAAACATGTATATGAATTTCAAGAATCATATGTAAGTAAAGAACCATTAAACTTATTTTATTTTTTTTTTTTTTCCTTATATTTACATTTCATCGACGTAGTTACATATGCCCTTGTTGTCGCTTTCTTTTAAATTTAGTTGAATAAACTTGCTAATATTATTCCGACTTAGGTGTAGGGCATGAAGATACAGAAAGGAACAAGAGCCTGCGTGTGAAGATGGAAATATGTAGAGTTCTTTTTCGATAAATATACACAAATAGAACTGTATATGTGTATATCTGTGCAGAACAAGTGAAATAAATTTCGAACGATCCTCCCTTTAATAGCATATTTTTAATTACTTATTAATCCAAAAATGTCAGGTAGTAAGGGTCTAAAAAAAAGGGAAAACGTAAAACAAAAATAAATAAATATACTTCTAAATGCTCAGATGTATATATGTATAAATGAAAAGTTGGTAATAACCTGAATATGAAAATCTTAGAACGCTTTAATTTCCTAAAGGACATATGGATACCTAAAAAAAAAAAAAAAAAAAAAAAAAGATTACACACAAATGTGCATATTGATGTGTACACGAGGACATGTCACCTAACTGCACCCATAAGAATATTCATATTACACACTTGCGAAAAACACAGAAAGAGATATTCTATACTCTTCTATGAACGTACCTAATGCCAGCACAATGGCAATGGAGTGAGACAAATACTTCTTTTCATTAAGTATTTTTAACTCTTCGATACTTGCCTTTTCTTTGCTGAAATGAAAAGAAATTATATTATTTAAAGAAATGGTAGTCTTAAAAGAATGGAGTATTTATTTTTTTGAGTGTCCTCACTGTGTTTGTACTAAAGTGTGGAGAAATATATAACCGCATGCATTCCGTTATATCTGTTTATACAACCCAAGAGTAATATGCACAATCATTTGAAACGCTCATTTTTCCTTTACTTGTCTTTCACAAATGTATTAATTTTTCTTATGGTCTTGAAACAACTGAGGGTTTTATAGAAATCATGAATTAAGTTACAATCCATATTTTTTTTTTTTTTTTTTTTAAGGGGAATAAGATATAATATTTATATGCTCCGTTATGCATTCAAAAAGTATTGACAATTCAGGAATAAATGTTCATGTATATATTGTGTAAAACTAATAACCCATATTTTTTTTCGCAGAGCAAAGGAGTAATAAAATCAGTGAGATAAGCGCAAAAATACGTGTAAAAAAAAACAAAAGAAAAAATGAATAGGCGCTTAAACGAATTAACAAATAAAAGCGTACACGAATGAAACCGAATCATGAGAAATAAAATAACGGACGAATACGTAAACACATAAAAGAATTCATTTGTTGTTATCTTGCTGAATTCACGTTCCTAATTATTGGAGCTCTATCTCTCCGTGCCTAAACTGTTTTTTTCGATCAAGTAGAATTGTATGCACACAGATATAGCATCATTTCTCAACGTATACATTACAGTTTCTATTTTTTTGCAGAATAATTGTATTTATTTTAATTTTTTTCCCTATTAAGATTAAAAAAAAAAAAAAAAAAAAAAAACTGTACACAATATAATAAAAAAAAAAAAAAAATAATACAAAAAGGCCCTCAAGAAATCACGTCAAATCGGGAACACTTCATTTAGCACCTTTACTCACGGCATTATATGCATTCTACCCTTAAAGTACAAAAAATAAGTCCATCCTACAAATAAATATCATAATCTTAAAAGCATTATGATGTTCTTACATACATGAAAAATCATATATCTACTTCCCATTTTTGAATTCATTTCCCCTAAAAACAGATTCATACTAAAGCATGTAGTGAAAGAATTTGCAGGAATTTTCTTAACGTTGTACTCTAAATCAAAAACAGTGAAAGAGCATGCAATTGCGACACGCGGACGAGTTTGAAAAGGAAAAGAAGAAAAAAAAAATAAATAAATAAAACAAATAAAACAAATAAAACAAATAAAACATATAAAACAAAAAAAAAAATAATAACAGCAGTATCAATAGACATAGTATCGTCATGGAGAGTCCAATTACCCTTGGAAACAACAATAACCAAAGGAATATAGCAGTTTTAAACTTTGGGACTAATGACAGAAGTAACTGTGTAACTGTTCTAGAAACGGCGTTATACCTGACGGAGAAATATATTGGTAGGACAAAAACAAGAGGGGAAAACGCAACATTTGATTAAAAAGTTCTGTATGTGTTAGTACCTCGTGCATGCATAATAAACACAAGTTCATATTTGCTTATTGTCACACACTCATTCGCTCTTCCAGAAATCCATGCAAACGTACTCTCAGGAATTAGCACACTCTTGTAATTATTCACAAGTGTACATACAAATGGTTGTGCGTACACAAGCAGGATGTGCTACTGTTCCAGTGGTGAATACATACGTTTTAACCCCATTCCTTCCCTTTTTTTATACCCATTTATTTATACCCCTTTATTTATATCTCCTTATTTATGTCCTCCCCTTTTTATGAACATGTCAGGCAAAATTATCAACAGCTCATATATATACGAAACTGTTCCGGAATATGTCGTTTTGGACGAAACAATAAGATTTGAGAAGGTAAGAGAAAAGGAAATTGTATATGACATTAATTGGGTGAACGATTTGGTTACAACTTTGGAAAGATCGAGACACGAAGAAGGGGATGATTTAATTTATGAGTGTAAAGAACTTGAAAAGTTTTTAAAAAATGAAAAATTAAATGAAAGCACTATACAAGAAGTTAGTGTGGAAAAGTACGAATATGAAACAAAAAATATAATAAGAGCGAATGATGAAATTATGAAAAAGAATTTAGAACAATTTAAAAATAAATATTACACGAGTTACTTTTTTAACTTAACAGTTATAGTTAGAAGTTTTGTTGAAGATCCTTTAAGCATGTTGATAATATTAAAATACATTGAACAAATCATGAAAAGAAAGGATGCAAAAAAGGACCTTGGAGAAATATTCGAAAATCGTATTATAGATATAGATATTTTATTTTTTAACAATTATACAATTTTTGAAAAATGTATAAATTTAAAAAAAGAAGACGTATATAAAATTATTACAAAATATATTCATATAGATAACAACACTAATAAAAAACGTCTGGAAATTATCCAAAATTTGAACGATAAAATTAAATTCTTATGTATTCCTCATGTGTATACAAAGCGTAGGTACAGTATCCTACTATGCTTAAACGATATAATTCCAGATTATATACATAGTACATTAAATGAGAGTATTAATTCAGCTTATAATAACTACATTAACAAATTTGAAAAAATACATTGTGTTAATATCAGAAAAAATAATAAGAGGTTATATGTACTGAAAGATAAAGTATCTCACCTAAAAGAAAAAACACATATAGTGGGTATTTTAAATGTTAACTATGATTCATTTTCTGATGGTGGATTATTTGTTAACCCAACCAAAGCTGTTGAAAGAATGTTCGAAATGATAAATGATGGCGCGAGTGTAATTGATATTGGGGGTGAATCATCAGCTCCTTATGTCGTCCCCAATCCAAATATTACTGAACGGGATTTAGTAATACCCGTTTTGAAATTATTTAAAAAAGAGTGGAATAAACTGGTGTACGATATGACCAATAATGTGATGGATTCTCAAGGTGAAGAAAACATGGCCCTACAAAATATGATGAACACAAAACCAATTATAAGTATTGATACTGTGAATTATGATATTTTCAAAGAATGTGTAGATCTCGACGTAGTAGATATTCTAAATGATATTAGTTCATGTACACACAATCCAGATATTATAAAATTATTAAAAAAAAAAAATAAGTTTTATACCGTTGTTTTAATGCACAAAAGAGGGAATCCTCATACAATGGATAAGTTAACAAATTACAATGATCTTATTTATGATATTAAAAATTACTTAAAAGATCGATTAAATTTTCTTGTTTTAAATGGGATACCACGTTATCGAATTCTTTTTGATGTTGGTTTAGGATTTGCTAAAAAACACGATCAGTCTATTAAACTCTTGCAGCATATTCACGTTTATGATGAATATCCACTATTTCTTGGTTATTCGAGGAAACGATTTATTGCTCACTGCATGGAGAAAAATGGTACAACCAATGGGCATATCAAATTAAGCAATGGAAATAAAAACGAAGACAAAAAGGATACATCACAAATATGGAGATTTAAAATGAATTATATGCGCCAAGACAAGGATCAACTTTTGTATCAGAAAAATATTTGTGGTAATAAAATTATATGCTTCTTATTGTTACGATTTTTTGCAAAATTTCTTACAACATTGTTATCACTTGGGTTACCTCACCTAATAAATCCCACCCTGAAAAATTCCAAAAATTTACAATATAAAACTTGTTTATTTTTTATTATTTCATCCCTGTTTTCTTAGGAGGATTAGCCATTGCTTCCTACAGTTTTTATAAAAAGGTTGATCTGATCAGAGTCCACGATGTTTTAGAAACGAAAGCAGTTTTGGACGTTCTCACAAAAATACACCAATCATAGTATATTTATTCTGAAAATGATATGGAAAATATAAAGTAATTCCCTCTCCCTTTCTCCCCCAAGAAAAAAAAAAAAAACGATATCACGCATTTTTAATTACATTATGTTAGGTGTTACTATATGCCTTAATAAATGTATCAACTTCGCAAGTCTGAAGTTTTTATTTAATTTTTTTTTTTTTTTTTATATACATATGCCTTTTAGCTTGTTGCATATTTATGTATAACTTTACCTGTTTTAGCTTCTCCGATTCATGCACCAATTGAATAGAAAAAAAAAAAAAAGAAGCGATGACTCACGATAATTTTGTGCTTGTACATTTGATTATTTAAACCATTCCCTCTATGACGATTGAACAGAGTGTTTAAATATTCCTTCATGTGTGCATGAATATGGACGTATATATTTGTTTTTTCCCTATTATGTATACAGAAGTTTCATTTTTATATTCTGCGAAGCACTCCTCCGATTTTACAGTTTTATCCGTATATATATATGCTAATGTAGTTCACTGCATTTGTTAACATTCCATTTTAATAAAAATTTAGAATATTACAAGAGAACATCATTGAATGAGCTCATATTTAATTTTATATTGTCCTTAGCTTCTCACACTTGGGTGGGGAGGGGCAAAGACGTATGTACAATTGTTACGTATGCACGTCGATTACTACATGTATAAAAAGACACAGATTAAGAACGGGTCAAAAGGGTATATATGTACATATGTAAATATATACGTATATATATATATCGTCACAAAGACTACCTCTCTGCAGTAACGAATATGCAATTTCAGCTTCTATCTTTTTGCACATTATGACTATACCAAACGTGTCTCTCTGACACTGAGACATCACATCATTCCTCTTCGCCCTGCTCTTCCCCTATCTCTTTTGCTTCTTCTCCTAATTCATTTAAAATGTCTTTTTTTATAATGTTGTTCGTTCTGTTATTGAACACAGTCTCCTTGATGGGTAGATGATTATGTGACAAGGCATAACACTCCCTAGACTCGTAAACAACTATGGGAAATGAATCGTGGACATCTTCATCAGTAAAATTAATTGAATATATGTTATTCAAAAATGATATAAATTTTCTTAAAGAGAAAAAGCTCATCATTTTGGGTTTGTTATTATTTGAGGTATTACAATCTATAACAACTATATCGTATACTTCATCACAATTAAATATGTAAATTCCATAAATATATTTAATTTTTATGGTAACATATAATTTAAAATGAAATTTATCATTATTTATTTGATTTGTATTAGTTTGAATAAAATTTGCGTTTTCAATTGTGTTAATTAATTCATTTAATGATTCCTTAAAGTTACTAATTTCTATACATTTTATTTCTTTTAAAAATTTTAAATTTGATTTCTGAGCATAAAATTCTTTTTTAAAATTTTTTCTGCTATATAAACATTCTAATATGACGGAAAGAAGTAAATCTTTGTCTCTTGGTTCGGATCTATACATTTTTAAAAAAAAATTAAAAATACAAAACTCTACTTCTTCATTAGTCAGCTCAATGTCCACTTCATGTGCGCATTCGCACCAGTCTGCCTAGCAGATGGAGAAGAGACAGGAAGTTACACCATATGAAATATTTGAAAGGAATAACCAAAAAGAGAAAAAAAAAATAAGTACTTCACAAAAAAAAAAAAAAAAAAAATGCAAAAGTTGTGTTACAACTATAGTTTTTTTATATTGTAGGAATGTAGTTGTATTTTCCAAAAAAAAAAAAAAAAAAAGTTATACTTTTTTTTTCCCCATTTTCGTGGAATACTTACATGTGGATTAAAATACTTCGAGTCCAATGGCACCTCCTTAGCTAAATCTGCACGTTTTTTGAGAATTTTGTCAAAGACCCTGTACTGACTAACAACCTTTTTATTCTTATAATAATCTTCTAAAAAGGTTTTCTTTAACGTCATATTTTTTTTTTTATTTTTTTTTTCTAACCCATCGATGAAGTTAGTGCAACAAAATTCAAATTGTTTATAAATGTACGATAAGAAGGTTCCGCTATATACTTGAGCGTCTTCTTTTTTTAATTCATCTAGGTTGTTTTCTTCATCAACATCGAAGAAATCATTAAGTGGGCAAATTGAGCTGTCCGACATTTTTCATTTATATTTATATCTTTACTTACATCTTTATTTATATTTTTACTATATTTTTACTATATTTTTACTATATTTTTACTATATTTTTACTATATATTTACTTATATTTTTATTTATATTTTTGCTTATATTTTTTATTCCTTATTTAATTTTTTTTTTATTTTGTTCTCTCTGAAGGAATGTACACACTACCAAGCGAAGTTACATAACTTGTTTGTCCTGGATTAAAAAAAAGGAAAAAAGGTTACTCAAATGCTTGCTTCAGTGCCAGGTGGGTATAATTTGCCTGTCTACATATGCTTGTATAATATGTATGTGCATATAATTATAAATATGTTTTTGTTTACTTAGCACTTACTGGCTTCACGTGTCAGAATGAAAAAAATATTAATCAGATTTATTTAAAATTTATACTTTTATTGTATTAAAAAGAAGTGAGAAATATTCATACAAAAGGGAACTGCATTAAAAATATCATCAGAATAATCTGCTTCCCTGAGTGAAACACTCATAATTTTGTTCGCATAATAAAATATAAATATGTATATTCAAATGGTAATATTTGCACTTACTTATATGATGCATGTTCGTGCTTATGTGGAAAATTTTCCTGAACTCTTTTTAGCAAAATGATTTAGCGGAAGATGCATTTTTATTTAGCTCTTTTTCAGAATTTTTTTTTTTCTTATAATTTTTCCGAATTGTGAATGAGGTGATAAAGCCACCGGTTTTAATCGTACAACAGAATGGAATGTAAGTGCAAAAAAGTGTTGACTAAAACGAATATTTGAAATTGTATATGTTATTTTTCTGTTCATATAAATAAACCAACAAATGAATAGACAGGTGGGTATAAATAATCATTCGGTCGCAAAAATAACGTGAACATTTAAAGATTCAAATTAAAAAAAAAAAAAAAAAAAATGGTGGCGTCAACTAATAGAAAAAAAGTTTTCCAGACATCAAATTACATCCACATGTGTTATGTAACGTATCATATTTTTAGTTGAAAAAAGCGCTATTAACTGGATGTGTAAAAGAAAAAAAATAAAATAAATATTTCAGATAAACGTTTCATAAAGGACCATGAGAATATGTATACGTACGTAGAGGAAGACAAATTATTCAAACTAACTGCAACATAATTACCGTCTAATTGGATTAACCACAACAGTGCATATCGAAAATTGACAACACTTGATCTGCATACAGAGGAAGCGCATGAAACATTTTTTTTGCGCAAACTTTTATACAATTACAGTATATTAACAGTCATTATAAAATGTTTTGGAAAGTTTTTACACCGTCTGAATGTGTGAAAGGAAATAAATTCGAATAACTCTTTTGTGAATTATTTTATTCTTTTTTTTTATTCTATTTTTTTGTTCCTTTTTTTTTGTTCCTTTTTTTTTAAACTAAAGCAGCCCAATTTGAAACAAGGAAAAGGTATTTAACATGGGTTAGGAGTAATTGGGTATCTTTTAAAATGTGAAACAATGTGTTCAAAAGTTCCAAATATATATTTTTTAAAAAAGAAACAAAAAGAAATTTTTCATGCTGTATGAACGTACGAAGATAGGAACATTTCCCACTTTTGCCCACTCACTTTCACGGAAAAGAAGCAAATAAGCGGATGGACAAAACGGATGGGCAGAATAACAAAGCAATACAAAGTGTTATATCCTTTTTTCCATTGCAAGAAATATTTTTTGTACGTATGAATGGGCATTTCTCCAAGGCAACGTTGATAAGTATAGAGTAATAAATTTATCATCAAGGTGGTCATTTCCACGTCCAATCTTAACACCTCTTTTCAATTTTTAATATTGCATTCTGTGTATATTTGTATATGTCCCTTGTAAATAACAAGAAGGAAAAAAAAACAAATAATCGAGGGAACAATAAAAACGTAACAGTTCTTGACGGAAAAAAAAAAAAAAAAAAAAACGCTCCACCCTTTTTCGATTTACTTTGTCCCCTCATATGTCTTCTTTCCTTAAAAGCCTATTTGAAAGAATTCATTTTCATTTTGGTGCGCTTCGAAAAATGTGTATTTATGTGTACCCAAATGCTCATAAGTATACATTACATAATGCAGCACAGGTAAAAATTGCTATTATTCACCTCCCTATTTCAATTTATTTATTTTATATTTTTTTAATGGTGAATTTTTTTTTTTTTTTTCCCCCCCTTCCCCCAATTCTTTCAATATACCTTTCGTTATTATTGTAGCTTATGATTCATAACTAAATTAAGTGTGTGTTTTAAAAAAATGTGTGGAGAAAGAACAGCGAATGCACAAACGCATATACATTTACACATTGGCTCATATGTATTCTGTATGTGCATAAATGTGTATATTATTTTTCTTTTCGTTTAAAAGTTTTGCCCAGAAATTTAAAAAGAATTAATTCTGTCCATCGCTCACCGATTGATAGGTTTATCCATTCGTATAAAGGTACCTAAATCATTTCGTAATTTGTTCACTACATTTTACATAAGTGGGTTTTCTTCCCATTTATAAAGCACATGAACATGACTATTTATCCTCGTTCCGTAGCAAGTACAATTATTTCCCCGAATTAAATCCAACATAGTGAAGAAGTACTCATATGTACGTGTGTATCATAGGCGTACATGAGTATATATATAAGTGCACACCATTTGTATGCACACTGCTTATACACGCGCAGCATATATATATATATATATATATATATATATATATATATATATACATATCTGCATATTCTAAGGTATATGCCAAAGTACCCTCCTGTGAGGACAATGTGAGAGAGCAATTTTTATACATGGTGTATATACCTCGGGTTATGCAACGAAATTTGGGTGAATGACAATAAAAGGAATTAGTCAAAATGGACATGGCAAACATAAATTTTGAAAGCGGCTGGAAAATAATAAAAGAAGAGGCGATTCAAAAGATAGAAAATTATTTAGAAAATGAGAACATTGAAAACAAAAAGCATCTGTTTAGCGCAATGGAGTATACGAGATTGTATACAGTTGTTTACAATATGTGTGCAAAAAAGAACCCATTTTGCTATTCGAAAGAAGTTTATAGAAAATATGGAGAAAGCCTATCCATATATGCAGTTGAAAAAATTAAGCCTTTATTAAGGAATAAAGAAGATTTAACAAAAACCAAAATTTTGATAGTTGCATGGTGTAAATATTCATTTTATACAAGTTGGATGAATAAATTTTTACAATACCTTGATCGATACTATGTCGAATATAATAGTTCTTTGTGTCTAAGTGCGTATACAAAGAATATATTCAAAATAACATTGTTTAACGATTTAAGAGATGTTATTAGAAAAATCGTTTACCAGATTTATGATAATTTGAGGATACAAGAAAATGAAGAAGAAAAAAAGCTACTCTGTGATTTAGTCCATTTATATAAAGAATTAGATGAAGACAGTAATGAAAAAATGTATGAGCATGACATAGAAAAAAAGATTCTAGAAAATGTAGAAAATTTTTATAAAAAGGAAGGAGATATGTGGATACAAAATTTAACATTTGATGAGTACATTATATCAATTGAAAATTCTATAGAAAAAGAATTTGAAAAAAATAAAACCTTAAATTTAATTGAAGAAACATGCGAAAAAGTAACAAATATTGTAGTGAGAATATTAATATATGAAAAGTTAGAGCAACTATTAAACAATAAAAAAAATATATTTGATTTGTTAAAAAATAATAGCATAAGATGTTTAAGAAGAACTTACATTTTATTTTCTTATTTCCCGGAAGCTATAGAAGGATTAAAAAAAATGATAGGGGATTATGTAAAAACGGAGGGAAATAATTTGAAAGAAAAATATATACAAAAATCAAGAGACATTAGTATCAACGCAAAAAATGATGAAGATCTATTTTACGGTTCAAATATAAATAGTAATATTACACAACAAAATTATGAATATGCCCTGTGTACATATATTGACGACTTAATTAAATTGCATAATCATTATGACAATGTATTTAAATCAGCCTTTTTTACTATATCGAATAAATCAATAGATAATAATTTTAAGGAATGTCTGAAAGATTACTTTGAAAGTTTTGTAGAACACGACGATGAACATTTTAGCACAGTAAAATTGTTAGTGTTGTACGCTGACAATATATTAACAAAAGGGGAATCTACAAATGTTTCATCTCAACAAGCGAATATTGAAACACAATCATGCAACGAATTTGTTAGTGGCCAAGCGCATGATACTACGTGCATCGGTAGCAATGGGGAACTTGATGATACTGAAAAAAACAGTGATTTAGCTAATTTAAAGAAAAAGATGACAGAGATTGTAGAAATATTCAACTATACAAGCAATAAAGAAAGTTTTTTCGAATACTACAGAATTTATCTAGCGAACAGATTGATTAATAATATATATATATCCCTAGATGCTGAAAAGAAATTTATCGAAAATTTGTATTATTTGTGTGGATCTCAATATACATCCAAGTTGGTAGGCATGATTCAAGATATTGTAAATAACAACACGATGAATAATAAATTTCTTGAATTTGCCTATACAAAATATGCACTATGTAAAAATGAATATAATTCTAAATGTATAGAGGATTTTTTCTCTGTGAAAATATTGAATAAAGGTTTTTGGCCACCCTTAGAAAAGACTCCTATGAAATTAAATGATACTTTTAACAAATATATAGAATTATTTGAAGAATATTATAAATCTGATAATAAAAATAAAAAATTGGAATGGATATACGAATTAAGTGAAGTTATTTTAACATGTGTTTTTCAAAATTGTACCTACTACTTATACTGCAATATTGTAAATGCCCAAGTTCTTTTATTATTTAACAAGCATAATTTTATTAATTATGAAATTGTAAAAACAGAATTGAACTTAGATTTGAAAACATTTACCAATAACATGTACTCCTGTATACATTATTTTAAAATTATATATTCAAATGATCAAACAGTTGATTGGAATTCATCGAATTTTTTTATAAATCAAAATTTTTCGTATCCTCATAACAAAGTTTACATCAAAAAAGCTACTACTTTGCTGTCTAAGGAACATGAAAAAGCCAAAGAAGACCGAACAATGGCGATAGAAGCCGCCATAGTTCGTGTAATGAAAACTCATAAAAAATTATTTTATGACCAAATATTTAATTATGTCAAAAAATCCCTATCCTGTTTCTCTCCCACTAACCAGGTAAATCAGTCCCATCCAATTCATCCATACACTCCCTTTTTTTTTTTTTTTTTTTTTTTTTTTTTTTTCTTTTTCCCCATTGCGCGCTCGTGTGTGTATACGTGTACTGTAAGAGAGTAGCCAAAACGACATTCTAAATTATGAAATCCTTTTTGTGAAACTTTCTTCCAATGTGCATCCCTGATAAAGCATGTTCTTATCAGTCTACCATGTGATAAATGGGTGTCCTTTCCACTTGTGTGTGACACAGATGCGCTTACAAGTTTTTATGTATTTTCATTACCCCAATAAGATAACATTACACCTCCCTATACGCATACACACCAGATTATAGAGAAAAAAATAGATTTGCTAGTTGAAAGGGAATATATTCAGAAGGAAGAAAATAGCCAATTGTATGTATATATACCGTAAAGAACTGATCACAGAAAAGACATCACTATGACGAAAGGATGTAAAATAGATTAGCAACAAAATGCACTGAAGCAATAAGGATGAGTAGTAAGCAAAAAAAAAACAAAAAATGACGAAAATTACAAATATATACAAATGTTTAGAGGTATATTAATTTATAAAAGTATGTCACTTTTTTTTTTTTTTTTCTCCTTTTTTCGTCATCAATATGTGGTTATTAATACAACCTATGAACAGAGGCATTTAGTATTTTCTACATATTTGTTTAATATTCGTTAGTGAGGTATTGCGTTTGTGTGTACAATGTTATTATTCATGTGATCCAGAAGGTTCACGAGAAATGTGATGTTCAACATCATTAGTATTGTTTCGCGTTCGATGTGTGTAAATATTGCATCATATACATATATAAGTACATTTATTACATTTTCTACCCTTTTATTCAGTTCATTTCTTATATAACGAAAAACGTCCATCGTTGTACATTACCCTCGTATGATTATTAAAAGCATTTTTGTTAACTTTTTTTTTTTTTGCTCCTGCTTTGGGGGCTCATGTATCACTATTTCATTTTAACGTTCATGTAATTGTTCTTCTTATGTGGATGTTTTGTTGGTTTCCTTTTTTTTTTTTTTTTTTTTTTTTTTTTTTTTTTTTTTTTGACATATAAATTTTGAGAAATCTGTCCTAAATTTTTTTTATTTCCAAATAGATTTTAATGTAATTAAAAACGCTGGACTATTTAATATAAAGAGATTCCTATGTGTAGAAACATACCTAGGTTTAGGTCAGGGGGTGTACCTATTTTTGATGTACTAAGGGAACCCTTTTTTTTTTTTTTTTTTATCTTTTTAATTTTATAAATAATAATGTATACGTCTACGCATAAATACTAAAATTTCCAGGTGGTAAATGGGTATAAAAATTATTCGATTTTGTAAGGTTGCGAATGTTTTGATGTGCTATCTGTTTAGGGGACATGGTAGATATACAAAATTTTTATGTGTATATACTATGTGTGCATGTATGCACATATTTCTCTGTGCTAGACAAAAACACAATTTACACAGAAAATGCTAGTTATAACACAACGGAGGAAAAAAAAAAAAAAAAAAAAAAAAAATTACAAAAAAAATTCTATCAAATGATACCTAAAAAAATAAGAAATAATGCAAGTATAAATGGATATTTAATAAAAAAAATATGTTAGGGCTCATTTCGACCCCGCTGAACCAGCATTTAAATACTCAAATATAAAAAAGAGTAATCCATTTTGCAAACAGTTTCTTAATAAATGCATGTTAAGACCAGTGTAGAAAGATTTTATTCCCTCTAGCTTGAAAATATTAACTACTACATTTAAGAAGCCATAATTCTTCATTTGAACTTGTTGCCTCATTTTGATTGTATATAAAGGATACGTAAACATAACAGCAATGAATTTTGATGTGACTCCATATAAAAATGGTAAAGTGTTGCCTAATGTGTTTAATGAAATGTGTATATTTTTTTCCTTAAGCTCATTTTTGAAATATTCGGAATTGAAATGATAAGTTAAATATTCATATATGTAGAACTGTATTGCCACGTGAGGAGTTAACAAAATTGAAGTTAAGAAACCCTTATAAAATGAAAATAATTTTTCTTTTTTATATATATTATAAACAAAATGAAAATAATTTTTATAATTGTAAATAATGCTTATGGCATTCTTGCTTTCTTCTCTTTTAAAAAGCCTCAATATTTTGTTACTACAGAGCGGATATTTCAAATACAATAAGTATCTACGAAAAAAAAATTTCCGATGATTGGATATTACTTTTTTCGTCATTTGTTTTCTTTCTAAATTTGATATGGTGTAATATTTGTATAACAAATAATTGTGTACCATTTTCCTTTTTACGCTTTTATTTAAAAATGCTTTCTTATCATTTGTATATACGAGATGGTTGTATTTTTTGCGTGTCCTAATATTTCTATTGTATATATAACTATTTTTGGAACATTTCAACATATTTTTATTCAACAATAATTTTATTTTGTTCCTTGTAACATCCTTCTTTACAAAATTGTTGCCAAAAACTATGAGTAATTTTGCTATATTTGAAAACTTTTTACTAGTACGCATTTTGTTCCTCGATACAAATATGTTGTAATGTTTGCTTGTTATTCTACTTTTATAATTTAAAAATTTGTGGTTTAAATTTATTGTGCATTCTATTTTTGTCTTTACCAGCCAAATTGGATGAAGAATAAATACACTAATGATTGAACTGACACTACTAGTGATAATATAATGATTCATATTTTTAATACTGTTAATTTGCATATCTTTTTTTACACTAGTTGAAGTGTTGTCTTTTTCATTAATTTCTATTTTATTAGACAAATGTGAAATCATAAATTCGTCCTTCCTCTTTTCTTCATCAATATTTTTTTCAAAATAAGAGTTCTCGAATGAGATTTGAACAGCATCACAACTTCCATTTGTTTTGATTTTTCCTGTTTCAACAAGATGATCTGATTCAGAGTTGCAAACAAGGTGTACCACTTCACCTCTACAGTCGTTACTTCTACTGAGGAAGGAATATCTTTTATTATTATTTACGTTATTTACATCATTGAACTGTTGAAATACATAATAATTTAGTGTATCATAAATAAATCGAAAAATTCCATGAGAAGCGCCTGTAGTAATTAACGTAGCTAATAAACCACGATAAACACTTTCTATTTTCTCTTTTTTCAAAATGTAAAATAAATTATACTTGTTATTATAGTAATAGGGATATGAATTCTTGTATACTTTATATATCTGCTTCCTTGTTCTTATTATGTCCAATGGATGTAGGACTGACAACACGAGAGCAGAAGAAATCATAAAGTTTAATGTTCTTGTCTTTACCTTTTTATTCCCATCTTGGTTGTTATTTATATCATCGTTAATAGCAGCATACTTTTCATCAATATTTTTGCAATCTTTATTAAAATAAGTTGTGATATTTTTCCAGAAATTATTTCCCATACATTTTATGTCCATATTAGTCTATATTAACATTTTTGTTTTTGTTTTTGTTTTTTTGTTCAGAAATTTATTGGCTGTTCATTCTGAGAAAGCGAAAGAAGCACATGGCTATTTCATAGTTGCTTCGGTAGCTATATTATTTCCTTCTTTACTTATGTGCTTTTTTTCTATTGATTTATTCTTCTGTTTTTTCTGTTGATTTTTTCTTCTGTGTTTGCTGTTGATTTATTCTTCTGTTTTTTCTGTTGATTTTTTCTTCTGTGTTTGCTGTTGCTTTTTTCTTCTGTGTTTGCTGTTGCTTTTTTCTTCTGTGTTTGCTGTTGCTTTTTTCTTCTGTGTTTGCTGTTGCTTTTTTATTCTGTGTTTGCTGTTGATTTTTTCTTACGTTATTTCTGTTGATTTTTTCTTACGTTATTTCTGTTGATTATTTTCCACGCCTTTTTCACATGGTAAGAAAATATTTCCCTACCTTTTCAAATTATGCGACATAAAAAAAGCGAACTACGTATCGACGTGTTTGTTTTGTGAACATTTTCTCCATTATAAATACGTCTTAAAGGTTAAAAGGAGCTGAGACGTTCAAAGATGAATTAGGGTGTGTTATCTAATAAACATTATCTAACAAATAATATGTGCGAGAAAAAAAAAAAAAAGAAAATGCACAAAAGAAGGAATAAGAAAATGTTCGTTAAAAGCACATAAAAAAAAAAAAAAAAAAAAAAAAAAAATGTGGCAAAAGTGCGAGAGAAATAGTTTACCATAAAGGCACAAAATATTTAGTGTGCAATCAAAAATGCAATGCTTATAGGAAAAAGCATGCGATAAAAAAAAGTAGGGAGAAAAAGTGGGAATACAGGCAAAGTAGGGAGAAATTTTTTATATCCCTTTTTCAGTTAATTTATAGGCACTAACACGGAGGAAGGTATTTTAGTTATTTTTTTTCAGTACACAACCTTTTACTCCATTTATGTGAAGACTTGTAAAATAGAGTACGTTAAGAAAAATAAAAAGCAAAATTCTTAAATTAATTATATAGGGCAAATTTTCTCAAATGTGGAGAACAAGCGGAAACCAGAATTGTTTTTCTCCCTTTGTATCGTGGCACACTCATTGCGCATAAATGTAGGGAACAAAAAAAGTATATGCCACATATATATATTATTTCATACATTTTCACCTTAAAGGTTTCCCATTTCAAATATTGTTATTAAGAGCTTACGAATTTGTAATTTACTTGAGTATTTTTACAAATTATTCTACGAAATATAAGAAGAAAATATGGATACAAATTTTTATAGATAAAAACGTATATCTATTTTTTTTTTTTTTTTTTTTTTTTTTTTTTTTCTTTGTTTTTCAAATGTTTAAAACACACCTTTTATATTCGCAAAGCATGCCTAATACACATGCTTAAATCAAGTGCTTATAAAACCTTATGCTTAAAACATTTGACAGAATTATTACTTAACCTTAATATGTATGACCTAACACTACATTGCTTTGCTTACATTTTTTGTGTTTCATAATTTTACCATGATGATGAGCTAAACGCTATTCTTTCACATTTTTCTATTCTTCAATTCTTTTTTTTTTTTTTTTTTTTTCACTTTACTAAAGATATAAAAATTGTTTTAAAAAAAAAAAAAATAGATGATATAAGATTTCCTCACCAAGTTGTAAAGTTGTTCATTTGTAATATGGAGATATAACTATGTTTTATACCATATAATTGAAAAATAATTTTCTAAAAATGTTGTTCAATTTTTTTATCTGCTTTGTAGCACTTTTAACGAAATTAACATTTGAAAAACATACACCATATTCGAACGTTGCACCTTTAATTGGTCACGTAAATTATATCATACCTACATTAAATTTCATAAACAATTTTGTTATAATTTCAAGTTTTAATGGCAATGTGGGCTTGCTAAATTATAAAACAGGTTAGAGCTCCATTTACAGCGTATGGGAAGAGCACCCAGAGACCTATTATCAATTGCTGTCCTTCCGCGCGGCACCCCCTATTTACACCTTTGCATGTGTACACACAATCTGTAACACAATTTGTAACGATGTTTACTTCATGACTATACAAATGTGTTTTTAATTTTCTAAATTTGCACAAGAACATACACATGGATGTGCAGAAGAAATTTACATTGCGCTTATTACACACTTACACACACCATGATTCACCACCAACAAAACGCGAACTGCCCATTTGTGTTTTTACCCATGTTTTGTATAAACAAAATAAGTGATATATGAATTTCTGTTCCTTTTTTATGCCTCCAATGGCGTCTGTCTATTTAGGTACACTGGATTATGTGAAAAATCATGGAGAAAATGAGAAAATAAAAAAACTATATGGAGATGACAATCATGCAGCTGTGCTGATTTATAAAGGCTCTTTGGAAGAAAATGATGTAATTGGAAATCATAAGAATAATGAGGATTTCTATTGTTATGTTAATGTGTACAATACTGTTTATTCCCACCTGTTGAGCTCTTTTGAGTATAGGAACGAAATAATTAATGATTTTTTTATTAAAGACGATAAAATATTTATGCATCTTAATAACAAAATAGATATAGGAAATATAACCAATAACAGATTGTTTTCATTAAATTTCAAAGAACTAAATGTGAACTGTATTTATTCGAAAATTATAGGAGAAAATAATTTGAAGATCACTTTGTTTTATGTAGATGCAGAATTTTGGGGACACATAGTAAATGTAAATATTTTAAAGAAGAGTATTGAAAATTCCATTAAAATTACTGAATTTAAACTAAATGATAAAATTGTTAATTATATTAATATTGTCAAAAACAAAACTGTCCTAGTCATATATAATAAGGAATTCCTTCATTGGATAGAATTACTAAATGAAGAAAATAAATATCACTACGGATTTGTACCAATAGGTGAGTCATCTGGAGAGGTGAAGGTCGATAAGAAAGAACCCCAGGATGAAAAGAGGCATATAGAAACGAGAGAGAACAATGAACGTATAACTGAACCAATCTCATCACATGCAATGGGAAAATGTAAACTCTTTAGAGATGATGGTATGGAGCAATGGAACACGGAGAATTACTTCATTGTTCGCTTGCAGGAAACACAATTTGTGTACATGTATAATGATAATAAAATGAATTTAATAAAAGAGAAAGATAAGAACGAAATCATAGGGTACTATATGAATCAGTATAACGAAAAGGATATGATATTTGCAGAAGATAAGGGCAACAAAATATTTATTAAAAAAGCTGGTAGTGAAGGAGAACCCCCTCTAAATGTTTTACACAAAAGTGATAATGTGTATTATAAGGGAGAAATGATAATTGGGATATATAATAAGGAAGAAAATTCAAATTATTATTTTAGTGTATATAATGATGCATCCCTCACTGTGTATAAGAATAATGACGTGTGTTACTCGAGAGAAGAATCGCTAGCATATATAGAACAGTTGAATTTTTACAATTTTCAACATTTGAAAAAAAAAAAAAAAAAAACGAATCATTCATATAATACTAAACAATTTGATTTAATGAATGAGTTGGATAGTTATATAAAAGATAAAATACATTCATTTAATAAGCCATTTCTGGAAGATGTTGTAAAAAAAAAAGCAGAAAATTCCTTATTGCCATTTAACTTTTTTTATTTATCATATGAGGACAAAATGAATTTGCTAAATATTTGTATGGAAAAAAAGAAAAAAAATGATTCCCTAATTAACTATGGAATGGAAGGGAAGGTTTCATACAGTAAGGATAGCCAGGGAAATACGAACAGCAAAAAAGGGAATGAACACAAATCAAATTTAATGAATAATATGATTAAAGATGCATTTACAAAATATGAACAAAGTCAAAGTGGTAAGTATGCAGGTAGTTCATTAGCCCTTGTGTCCACAAGCAACAATTTGATATTTGCCATACATCTTTATACTGGTCTTATACTATATAAAATTGATGGGAATAAATTTAAAGTTTCAAAGGAAATATTTTCTCCCAAAATATATTATGAAAGCCCATTTAGTCTAAATAAGGACAACTGGTCTGAATTAGACAATGGGAAGAAATTAATATTTTTGAATAATCAAAAGGGGCATGATGCAACAGAGGGGAAGAAAAATGAAATTACAAATGAAGGAAGTAGTAAGGATGTTCTAAATTACAGCAATGATGTGCACTTATTTAAAAGTTTCACCAAAGATACTGCAATTGCAATTTTTAAAAATGACAAAATTTCGCACATAGTTATATTTGATATATTAAGTGGAGATATTATTTTTGAAAAGAAAATCGAATCCTTTGAAATTAAAAATTTTTTTATTGACAGAAAAAACTCGTCCATTTTGGCAATGGACAATTTTCTCAATGTGAAGATAATTCCTCTTATGAAGGGAAAAGGTGCAGATGTAGAAATAGCTGATGGCGTAGATGCCATTCCTGGATTGGAAAATGATTTATTTTTTTATCGCATGAATGAATCGAACAGTTTGATTGAAGGGTTCAAATTAATTAGTAGTTCTCCCAGAAAAAAAGAAGAAAAAGAAGGAGTGGAGTTAATTCGAATATATTCCATAAATTTAAATAATGAAAAACTTGAAGTTTTTTCAAAATCGATAACAAAGAAGGATATGTTTTATCCAATTAAAATTAACAAGGACGCTTCCATATGCTACAAATACGTGAGTGACAATATAATATCATATATAACAAGCACGAACCAGAAGAAGAATATAATATACACTTTATATATAATTGATGGCATTACTGGTGATCTTATTTTTTCAAAAATGTTGGACAAGCACACGAATCCACCCTTTCACCTAATGATTAGTGAAAATCATGTTATTTTAAACTATTTTAATGTAAACTTAAAAAAATATATAATTCAAATCATTGAAATATTGTTAGATAAAAGAGATCCAGGATTTTTTAATTTAATAACGTCTAAAAAGGAAAAAATTGTTGATCTATTTGATCAAAAAAAGAAAATCATAGTAAAGGAAAAAAATTACATAATTGAGCATAATATAAAATCTTTTAATTTTACGGAAACGAAAAGAGGAATAACAAATAAACAAATTTTACTTTTACTTGAGTCTAACAAAATAACTTCGCTAAATTTAGGCACTGAAAAAGATCAAAATGTGTACAAAAATTTGAATACATTTATTACACAAACAGATATTTTATACAACTCAAAAGGATTCATATCTAATGAAAGTTTATTAGAATCTACTACGCTTGTATTTTCGTGGGGAAATTATCTCTATTTTACGTGTTATCAGCCTAACGGGTCCTTTGATACTATTGAAAATTTTAACTTACTCGTACTTTTGTTTTTAATCATTTTGGTGTTTATTGGTACATATATATCTTACTTAAAAAGAATAAACAAAACTTTGCATTCTAAGTGGGCATAAGTTCTAGCCATTGCAAAAGAAGGCTGTGATGGGGATAGAATTATTAACTTCCCGCATAAGCAGGATATGTCTCATACGTCCTTAAGTGTTGACCAAAATGCAAACCCAAGAGGGTACGCAAATGTGGATATATATACACACAGCAAAGACGTGTAGGATTTCAAGATGACAGGAGACTTGGATTTTTTTTTTTGAAAAAATTTCTTAATTTTTTTTCCCCAAGCTCTTTTTTCAATTTTTTTTTTTTTAATTTTTTTTCAAAATAATGAATGCTTCACATATTTATTCATTTATTTTATTTTTAGTTAAGTTTATATTTTATTAGATATTTTTTAAAAAAAGCATAGAAAAGAAAAGAAGCTTAACGTTTTAAGTACTTTTTTGTAATTAAAATTTTTTTTTTTTTTTCATTTATTTTATATTTTACGCTCCCTTTTAAATCAATAATGCATGTGCATGTTCGTGTGTGCGCTTTTTACCCTGATTGAGAAATGGAATAACCAATATTTATTTGTTATTCCTATTCCTTCAAATGAACCTTTCGGTGAATTGTAAGGTCACTCATATATATGTTTGTATACTTATATTATATTTGTTCGTTTGTTTATGTATATAAAACGGCAAACATTTTTTTTTTTTTTACCCCCCCCCCCCCTCCTCTATTTTTACCTATTTTTATTTATGCAATTACATTTCAAACTATAAACGCTATCTAAAAAAGATGCTCAATATGTATGCTGAAAGCTTACAACTTTTATGTAAGTACAATTCTTTTCATTAAAAATGTGGTGGAGAAAAAAAGCTCCCCTACCTCACCCAATTTTTTTTTTATATCATTAATAACATTTTGTTTTATGTTATCCCCTCCCCCCCTTATACTTGTGATGGATGAATATATTTTTTTGAAAATTTAATTAGGAGAAAGATTAAGTCACCCATATATATATGGTCATAAGAGCCGCTACCACACCTTTCATATAATTACGTATACGGTTTAAAAACACATAAATGTGATCAAATCGGGGAAAAAATGCGATAAGAATGATAGGATTAAGTGAAATTTGTCCTTCCTACGAGTGTTAATACAAAATGAGGTATATTTTCATATGAAGGAATAATTGTATTAAACACTTGACATTATGTTCAATAATTTTGTAATCAAACTAAGGCAACAATTCCCATAAATGTTTAATGAAGGAAAAACATTTTTTCGCCTTGGTTAATTTGAAAAGAAGACAAAGTAATTTTAGTATTATTAAAATTTTCTAGAATTTCTTGTTTCCGTCGACTTGGTTCCCTTATAATGTTTAACATATTTGTGCATTCTCTATCCTTTCACACGCATTAAATTGATGTGTGAATAAAATTTTTATGGATATAAGGGAAATGTCACTTTACACACTTGCTCATTCAATCTTTTTTAAGTGTACATGGGTATATTATAAATGAGTGAATATATGGGTTTTCCCAAAATTTACACATATACATAACTAAATAAGATTTTTTGTTAATATGGTGCATACTTATTATCAAATTTATATAGGTGTAAACACGAATAAAGCATGAATTTGAAAAATTTTCAAAGGAGAATCACCCTACAAAATATGCAGCATTTATGAATTGGAATTCGTGATAATTATTATGGAAGAAATGTGTTCTGCTTCATGTATATAAATAGTAAAAATGTTTCTTGTAGGGGTAGTGGATAATGGTTATAAAAAAGGGTAAAACTTTTTGCACTTCTCATTTTACGTATGCGCTCATTGCTCATTTAATGCTTTGGTTTTTATTTCCACCATCGTTTGCACGTTTCCCACTTTTATTCATTTTTATTTTTTTTTTTAACAATTTTATTAAAAACATTTACATGAATGATTATGTTAATAAAAGGAAGAGGGTAAAAGCTACTTTCGGAGAAATTCATTATCACAGAAAGTGAAAGAAGTGGGACGTTTATTTATTTTACTAATGTAGGACGGTATATAATCCTAAATTGTTTTACATATGCGCTTTTCTCAGACGCACCTTTTTAGGTATTCTTTGAAGGGTTTATTAATGATTCTCTTATGAAAATGCACAAGTATATTATAAAAACTATATACATATATATATATATATATATATACACATAAAATACATATTAATCATATGGGATACATTGTGAACTGCCATTTAGCTCTAAAGTGAAAAGGTGCATGCATTAATTTATTTTAATTACGAATGAGCTTGTGCTCATTTGCTTTTTCCTCTCCACTGTGCAAGTTTTTTTTTTTTATGTTTTTTGTTAAATTTTTTTTTTCTGTTTTGACGGGTAAGAAAGCTTGTAATTTATAAAACTTATCAAATTTTATTTGTGATACAAAAAGGATGGAAACAAAATTTTGGGGAAATGACGAACTGAAAAAATTCATTGTGAAATAAAAAAATAAAAAAAAAGAAAAAAGAAAAAGTGGTTAAATGGTTGAATATTTATTAAATGGTCGTTCCACTCTGTAGTTTTTTCATCATAAAACTTAAGTGCAAACTTTTTTTAAAAGTTTGGATATTTTTATTGCGTTTTATGTGTTTTTTTTGATTCAAAAATGTCAAAAAGCTTTTTATTCATATCATATTGGTCAAAATAACAAAAAAAAAATAATAATAATAAACCTGAATAAAAAGAAGAGGAAGCTAAAAAAAATCAGAAATGTAAAAAAAAAAAAAAAGGAAAAGGAAAAAGCAAAAAGGAAAAAAAAAAAAAAAAAAAAAAAAAAAAAAAAAAGCAAAAAGAAAAAAGAAAGAAAAAAAAAAAGAATTTTTTTTTTTTTTCATTGCATATATTAATAAAAAAAATGGCACGATAGGTACTGTTTATGTGATACATTTAATAATGAAAAGAAATCCTCACATCAAAATGTAAATATTTCTTTTAAAATATGAGAATGTGATATATATACGTTTATGTATTACATATATTTACACGTATATATATGTACATGTGCTACTGCTGCCTTTCGTTATTACAATTCCCCGAAGTAAATTGCTTGCTCATTCATCAATTTACATGTAATATATCTATTCTTCCAATAATGCCAAATTCTTAAAACCCTCTTCTTTTTATATTTTATTCATTTTTGGCATTTATAAAAAAGTGAAAAAAAAAAAAAAAAAAAAGAAATTTTAATTTTTGCTTGACTTACATATTTTATACGAGCATATTTTTTTTTTTTTTTTTTTTTTTTTACATGATTAAATGTTTTAATAGAGAAATAAGCATTAAATTGAAAATGATATTTCTTGTACAATTTTTGCGTAAATTTAGTAACACTAGCATTATATTACCTATTAACAAAGTAGTATAAAAAATATGAACTAAAAAAACATACAAATGGAAAACAAAGTTATTACATACCCATACATTTATACATATGCATAATATTTTTCATGGCACATTGACTACTTTTAAATGTATAGTTTTCCATTACATATATCTTGTGAAAACTGTGAAATGTTTATATGTACATATGCGCATAAGTTATATGTACACATTATGTACGTATATACAAATATATATACATGTTCATGTGCGTACGTACACGAGCAAAATACACACACGAATACTTAGTTCAAACAAGGGCATGGCATACCTAACGGGAGGGGCTTTTATTTTTTAGCCCTTTTTACATTTATATATGTATACATGTGTACGTGTACGCATATACATATATATATAGAGAGAAATACTAAACGGGGAGATAGTATACATGTTTGATGAAAACTATTAAGGGTATTTTTATATATGAAAAGGCCATAAAAGAGAAAAAAAAAAAAAACATAGTAAAAACAAGAAAAAAAAAAAAAAAAAAACGGGAAAAAGGAAAACGAATCAAATGTTTTGAAATAAGCATTGGATTTTTTTAAAATTTACCACAATGAAAAGAAAAGAAAAAATATTTATAATTTGACACAATAGTCATTATGTTTTTACAAAGGCCTATGAAGCTTCATACACAAGTAAACATATGAGTGTGCATGAGTGTGGATATACACACACATATATATGCATATATATGTATAAATTTATTTCCTCCAGCGAGAGTATTTCCATATATGCCCCATTATGCTTGTACACTTCTAAAGATACATTCATATATGTACAACCATAAACACACATCCATGCATATGAAATCAGGCATGCATCCCTCCCAGATATGTACTTTCACACACGCGTATATGTATAGTTACACAATACATAAGCATCAATCACCGATCATTCCCCTTTTTTGCAATTTATGTTTCCTAGTTCCAACACATACCACCATTTTGTTCGCTTGATTATTTGTTAACTACGATGGAAATAAAATATTTTTGCCATTAACGAATATTAGTGTTTTAAAATATTTTTTATTAAAGAAAATCAAAACATTTCTAGTATGTATTGTTGTGTCATACATATGAATAAATACATGTAAATTTGAATAAATGTGTAAAAACGTGCATATATGAACGAACATGCATAAATGCACGAAGAAACATTTTGAAAGAATTTCCATTTTTGTTATTATTATTATTTTTTTTTTAGTAAAAAAGAAGAAACATAACAAACTTTTTTTTTTTTTTTTTTTTTTTTGGAAAAAACGATTTCTGATGCATTCTTATTGTTCAAAATTTTTGGACAAGCAGAAAAAAAAAAAAAAAAAAAAAGTGCATAGTTTTTGATCCTTGTATTGTTTTACAACTTACGTATTGTGTAAAATAATTAGTAAGCATAAAATACAGAAAAGAAAAACAGTAACTTTTTACTGCAACGAGTTCACAGAATATCGAAAAAAAAATTACAAAAAATTTAATGCTTACCCAAGAATTGTGAAACTAGAACCCGCATTTTCACACATAACAAATTAGAGGCATCTTATATGTAGTGCACATGTGAGTATTCACATAGGCACACCCTTTTTTTTGGGAGCATGAAGATACAAGCTTATGTATGTATGTTCTCATAAACAAATAGTATACATATATACCTACACTCATAATATAAAAGCATGCTTAGAAATGCACAGATGTGCATATATATGCATAAACATGTATGCAAACGCACGAACTCGTATATACATGAAAAAACGACTGATAGAAGTGGCAATTGCTTTAAACTTATTTGAATTGGGTTAAAATTTCACATGAATAGTATGTAAAAAAGGGGGAAACAAGAAGTAGATACAACAATCGCAAAGGTATCATCAAGGGAAGCAACGAACATTAAATCGTGAAGGAAGTTATTACAAGAAAATTAGGAGAGAAGTCATCGAAGAAGCTTTAAATGCATCATAAAATATAAATTTCTACATATCATACATGGATGAGAGAACGAATATCGTAGACGTATGGGCAAATAACTTAGAGGAGGAATTTGAACGAATAAGGGATGTGGTCGAAAGTCATCCCTATGTTGCTATTGACACTGAATTTCCAGGAATTGTAGCTAGGCCAACAGGAAATGTAGTAGATTACAATTATCAAACAATAAAATGTAACGTGGATTTGTTAAAAGTTATACAGTTAGGTGTTACCTTTTCTAATGGGAAAGGGGAATTGCCGAAGGTATCAACATGGCAATTCAATTTTAAGTTTGATCTTGATAGTGACATGTATGCACAAAATTCGATAGACTTTTTAAAATTGAGTGGAATAAATTTTGAAAAACATCAATCCTTAGGTATTGAATTATTGCATTTTGGTGAAGTTATCATGTCTTCAGGTTTAGTAATGAATGAAGATGTTAAGTGGATATCGTTTCACGGATGTTATGATTTTGCTTATCTGTTAAAAATATTAACGTGTTGTGCTTTACCACATAATGAAGTTGCATTTTTTGATTTATTGAACGATTTTTTCCCCTCCCTTTATGATATAAAATATTTATTATTGAATTTGAATATTAAGCAATTAAGTCGAACTTATTCATTACAAAAAATTAGCGAAATTTTAAGTGTAAAAAGAATAGGAAGACAACATCAGGCAGGTTCAGATTCTTTAGTTACTTGTAAAACATTTTTTAAATTATTAGAACTTTATTTTGATAACAAAATAGATGATAAAAAATATGCCGGAGTTATATATGGATTGGGGTCAACTATAAAAAATTACAACCCTAAATTGGAGGATAATAATCAGCACAAATCCAATAACACGAATCATAATAACAATAATTACATTAAAAATTATAGTACACATGGTGGATCAAATTGGGGAGGAGGAGGTTCCTATGGATGCAGTTATCACAGTGATAATAATGAGATTGAAGAAAGAAATAAAGAAAGCAATAATCAAATGCATATGGAAGGTAAACATTGCATGCTCCATACACATAATAACCACATGTTAAGCAAATATCTTGAAAATAAGGATTATCAAATAAGTTTCAGCAAAGATGCTGTAAAAGGTAATATTAAAAGTGACATGTTACACAATTTGTATGCAAATATGAATCAAAATAATTACAACACAATTGCAAATGTTGGAAATATGGTTTCTACGAAGATTAACAATGGTACTTATGACAATGTTTCTACTCATAACCAAGGACTTGTAAAACACAACAATCCACAGTTAAATAATATTAATTCAGTTAATGATAAAACTATGCGGATTCTTGCAAATAGTGAATCCCATTTAAATAATCCCAACGGTGTCGACAATATTATAAATAATATAAACAGCAAAAACAACACGAAAGGTAGTGGAAAGAATGACAATAAAAGTGAAGTTAAGAATGATGGAAAAGGGGAAAATATAAGTGACGGAAAGGGTAACTCCAAAAATAGCAATAAGCATAATAGCAAGAATAATGGGAAGAATAACGGAAATAGTGGCAATCACAGCAATGGAAGTAGTAAGAACAGCAGTAATAGCGGAGGAAATAGTGGATGCAATAGTAGCTTCCACAATGGAGGACATAATAATAGCAATAATAATAATAATAGTAACCAAAACAATGGACATAATGGAGGAAATGGTAATACCCATGGTAATAATACCAAAGGAAATAGCAAAAGCAAAGGAAACAACAGTAACATTAAAAGCAACAATAATTCAAGAGAATTCATTAACAATTCAGGGAATATTAACAAGAACAGTTTAGAGACTAATCCGAAGTTGATAAAAAATATTTTTAATGATATCCCTCAGAACCCAAACAGTTGTAATTTAAGTATCGATATGAATGGAATAAACAATAGTAGTGAACATATGAAAAACACAAATGGAGTTAACATTAGTCGTAATTTAACGAATCTCAATGGAAGTACTATTAATTATAATAACCCCAATACGAATATAAATAGCTTAAAGAATTCTTCCTTGTTAAGTAATCTGAACAGTTTTAATGGTTTAAATAGTAACATAAATATGAGTGGTAAAAACATCGTAGCAGATAAAAGTTGTATAAATGGGAAAATTGGACAAGTTAGTATGAGCAACAGAAATAGCAACATGATGCCAAATAACGTAAATATAGGATCTAATGGTATGATATTTTCTAGCACGAATAACTGCTTTTCCGTTAATAACATGTGTATAAATAATTTAAGTAGCAATATCAATGTTAACAACTCATCTGCAATTAATAATGGAAATATAAATTTTAAAGTAGGTAGTGGTATTTGTGGTGTTAACAACAACAGGGGTAGCTTCAATAGTTATAGTACAAACGAGGGGAATACAAGGAAAAATGAGTCAACGAAGAGTTCAAACATTTTAGAAGAAAATGTTATGAATTCTATTAAAGGTTCTTCCTTTGAATCGGACAGCAACTCTATCACGCGAAGTGGTGCATCGACAAGCAGCATTTATACACCCATTGTAAATTACTGTAATTATGCGAACGTATATAATAATAGTAGTTGTAGTGGGAGTAACAAGAACTGTGACATAGGAAGTGGTATCAGCAGTGGAAGCTGTAACAACAGTGGTAATGGTAACAGTAAAAGTAGCAATAAGAGCAAGAACAATAGCAACATCGGAAACAACAATAAAAATTCTAGTGGTAACAACAATGGCAGTGACTTTTTTTTAAATGATGCAAATTTTGGAACGTGTAATGTCTCGAATAACTCGAATCCCCAAATGAACAATTGCATAAACAATTTTAACATATATCCAATGTCAAACAAATACAACTCCCTTAGTAATTATCCCATAAATGTGAGTAACCTAAATGATAAGGTTAACACAAAGGATTGTGAAACTGATAGCGAAATGTATGATGTTCCAAGAGGTATTCACATCCCGTGTAATGGAAACAACAACAATAAGAACGACGGTTACTGTAACGACAGTGAGCTTATTAGTAGCAAAAATACTCTGAATATAAATTCTATGAATAAAGCAAACATAATGACATCCATGAATTATAGTAAGAATATGTCTTCTAGTAGTTTAAATGTAAATACTAATTTTAAGGGAACTCATAAAAATAACATCCTAATTAATGACACGTCAAATGGTATAATACAGAACGGTAATATATTAACCAAGAATAATGACCTAGGGGTGGTTACTGTTAACAACTATGATGGTATGAACATGTTACTGCAAAATATGAACATGATATGGGAGGATAATAAGGGCAAGGACGAAAAAATTAATACTTTAAATAAAGCAACTATTGCTAATTTCAGTGTTAAACACCCACCACCACCACCACCTCCGCCTCCACCCCCCTCATCATGCAATGTGAGTAATGTAATGAACAGCATGAGTAATAATTTTAGCGTTAGTAACAATACTAATAGTGGAAACAACTGTAACAATAACAATGCCAATTACAGTGCCAATAATACTGGCAGTGGAATTCAGAACAACAATAATGACAAATCGAAAAATAATTCCTTTATAAAAAATTTGAATGCTTCAGCAGCAGGTAACATGAGTAATACAAATGTGAATAACATAACGCATATAATTAATAGCAACGAATCCAAAATGTGCAACATGAATAGTATAGGAAGTAATAATTATGCCGCAAATAATCACGTGACAAAGCATAATTTGAATTCTAATAATTGCAATAACGTAAATGTAAGTACCAAATTAAGTTTTGTTAATATACCTAATCAGAATTATGTTAGTGGCATAAATAAAAGTAATTCGATTGGATCTGTCGGTTCAACTGGCGCTGGAGTCAGCATTAGTGGAGTAGGTTCAATCAGCACAAATATTGTTACACCGTACAATGGAGAAAGTAATAAGAAACCGTTAGATAATAATAATGATATTAGGGGAAACATTAACTTTAATAGGAATAATTCGAATAATCCAAACAAAAATAACAAAAATTTTAGTCAATTAAATAGTATCATCAATAATAACAATGTAAATGAAAAAAATAATAAAAGTAATTCGAAGGAAGGCAATGGTAAAAATTTTGGCCTGATAAGCACTAGTTGTATTTCTGAAAATACTTATAATGCTGATGGAAATACTGTTGTTAATATGGGACAAATTAGTAGCAGCATTAGTAGTAGTATGCACAGTATAAGCTCCAAAAATTCCGGAGAACATGTGAAAGGAAGCAGTAGCACGAATATCAACAACAATGTTAATGGTAGCAATACGAACAGTAACAGTAAAAACAGTAAAGGTGGGAAAAATGGTAGTAAGAGCAACAAAAATAATAAGAACAAAAATAAAAGTACCACCAATGGAATGGGTAATAATGGAAGTAGGAACAACGGAGAAGATAACTGTGGAGGGTATCCACCTTGTGGCAGCAGCCACAGCAACAGCAACAGCAACAATAACAATAACAACTGTACAGGTAGTAGCAGCCCAATTATTAAAAAAAAAAGCAATGAAAATTTTAATGGAGATAAAATAAGCATTAACAGTATCGAACAGAATAATAATTACGGCACAGTTAACCAAAGAAAAAGTGGCAACAAGGATTTTAATAACACTGTAAAAGATGAGGAAGAAAGTTCAAAATTCTCAAGTACAAATCTACAGTCAAATGATGATAAGAAAAATGTTCTTATTGATAAAAATACGTGTAATAATTTTTTAAATAGTATGAATTATTTTAAATCAGATAATTTAAAAATGTACAACAAGGGAGGAATAGGAAATAACACAGAAGCAGGAGTAGGAGCATACAGAAAAAATACTACTCAGCAATTAACACTAAAAAATAACTTCCTCAATAATTCCACATGTGATAGCGAAAGTGGCGGGATGCACAATTTAGGTACAGGAAAAATAAATAATGATTTGAACAAGCATAACATTATAAATTCAAAAAATGTGCAAAATTATGCAAACAATACTAGCTCAGCAGCAGATGGCACTGATATCAACGCGGACATTCACTTCCTAACCAATATGAAGAATAATAAAAACGTGAACAATTACACCGACATTTTACATGGAAACATTAACAACTTCAGCGTGATAAACTTAAGCAAAGTGGGAAACCACTCTAACTCTGTCAAAGACAATGTAGTAGCAACTGTTGGAGGAAATCCCAGCGATCATAACAGCGGTAACAATAGCAGCCACAACAGCAGCAACAATAGCAGCCATAACAGCAGTACCACAGTAGAAAACACAAGCGATAATGGGAGCACCAGTGCAAATGGACACGGTTCGAACAACCTTATAAGCAAAAAAATGAATAAGGAGAGTATAAATATGACAAAGCATTCGATGGTGAATAATATGAATCTTAACAGTATTTATGGGAATAATAAAACTAACACATTTGCTAAAATGGGGATAAATCATAAGGGTGGTAATGTAAGCAACTCGAATTTTTATTTTAACAGTGATTGTTCTATAGCTGATGCAAGCCGAAATCAATTATATTACAATTCTTATATAGAATCGTTTTCTGAAAATGTAACGAACAAATCATTTATACAGAAGAAGAATAATAATAATAATATTACTTCATCCATTTACAGTGATAAAAGGGATGAATCAAACATTATAAGTTACAACTATAGTGACAGTAATTTTGCTGAAAAAAATGCTATCCTTACGGAAAAGTACGAATCAGTCGAATCTACACAAGACAATATGTTTAACAACACAAGTTATGAATTTAAAAATAAAGAACGAAAATTTTTTTTATGACATGTGATATGTTTAGATAGAGAAAATGAAAGGAAAGAAAATAAATTAAACGGTTGAAAACATGTTCCAAAGAGTAGAGAATCCAAGGAGACCTTCTTAAACCGTGTTGTTTAATATAAAATTATTCTTCAATTCTGTAGGAGAAAAAAAAGTTAATTTTTTTTTTTTTTTTTTTTTTTTTTACAATTTTTAATAAATTTATGAAATGCAAACCAAAGAGTGAAGAAATATGTTTTGGAGGAACACTTTTTTTTTTTTTTTTTTTTTTTTTTTTTTTTTATGTAAAATGTTTTCATATATAGCATACACAATACATGTAGTGTATTTGTAATTGCTTGTACAAGTTGTTAAATATATATACCATATATATATATATGTGTATGGATAACAGTTTTACGCACTGCAGAATAAGTGTTATATGCATAAATGTACACACGTATGCGACACATGTTCTGGTATATATGTACATATATATATTTTTTTTATATAATATATTCTTTTAGTCCGCACACGTGCTACAAGTTTATTTAGATTCTAATGAAAAATTAATGAATCTGTTGTTGCATTTATTGATATGTATTCCCATAGTTTTACTTTTATTCTTCGTTAATGTAAGCGTATGCATTTAGCAGGAGGAGGGGGGCAATATATATAAATACTTATACATATATTTTTACATTAATTCCTTGGAATTGAAAAAAAAAATAAAATAAAATGCACGCGTGTATACATATAGCGTCCAATCCTCAATTTGCATGCATACATACACCCCGTGTGTACGTTTTTACATATACACATGCCCCCCTCTAATATATGTTCATATTTACACTTACACATTTATATATATATATATATATATATATATATATATATATATATATATATATACGTGAACAAGCATCACCATCACTCTGTGTACATGGTTATGTGAACCTATAATTTTTTTTAAGTATCAGTGAATATTTTAAAGTTATATACATTAATTCCACTTTATCTGTATCTTCTATTAATTTGTGTGTCATTCTTCGTGTAAATTTAAAATATTTTATTTTTAAAGTGCATGTAAGAGAGTTATATCATTATTTTTTCATCACGAAATGAATGAATTCTATACGTTACGTATACAAAATGTTCCTATCAAAGTTCTATTGTGTTGTGTCAACCCACCTTTTTATACCTATCATTGCTCTAGATTTATCTCGTTACATGTTCGTTTAACCGTTACAGTCATGTCCACATTTACTTGTGCATATTTTTACCCCTTTTTTAATTCTGTCTTTTGTAATAAGAAATTAATGTTTTCATTTCTTATTACATCATTTTTACCTTTTGCTTTTTTTTTTTTTTTTTTTTTTTTCATTTTTTCCTGTTTCTCTTTTCGCACACATAACTTGTAGCGTATTTTTTTTCATCATTTTTACAAAGAATTGTGCGTAGATACATGTTATATTTTTGTATACCCCTTATT